CCTTCCCGTAGAGGGCTCTGCCGGAGGTGTGCCCGGGGGTCAGTTAGCTCTCTCCGCACCACCGCCTGCCTGCACGCGCGTGGGGTCTGCGCCGCCGCAGAAAACGCGTGTCCGGTGCCCAAAATACGGGGCGAGCGGGTTGTGCTGCAGGAGGGCGCTAACGATGCGATGGCTCCCGTGAGATGGAGGTACAGAAACAGAGCTGCAAATGGCGTGTGGCCATGCACCCGGTGCTCCGAGCCGATAAAACTCCAACTCAGTAGTTGAGTCTTCGAGAGAAGTCTGGTTTCTATCCGTCCCTCGTCTGCGAGCCCACTCTGCGCTTGCAGCATTCTTGGTGCCTTCATGGCCTTCTTGCTTTTCTCTGGCGTTTTTCTCCAAAGTAGTCATGCTCTTATTGAATATATGCTGTTCTGCTGGCCGTTTTCCTATGATATCCACAAGAGTTTTTAAAATATCATAAGTTGTGTTTTTCTGATTTTTTTTAAGTGTTCTGAGAGACAAAATACTTCTGAAGTTACTTAGATTTGGCACAGGGGAGGTGGTTCTGTTATTTTGAGGTGCTTTTGGGTTTTTTTTTGTAAAATATCTCTACAAACATTCCATTTGGAAGTAAATTGCATTTGGGTAGGTGAAAATTGTCTTCCCTCTGCTTATGTTAAACCCTATCTGCCTGTGAAGTTCCACCTCAAGCAGAGGAGAAATTTCTTTACTGTGAGACTGAAAGAGCAGTGGATGCTCAGAGAGGTTGTGGAGTCTCCTCTGGAGACTTTCAAAACCCATCTTGATGCATTCCTGTGTGGCTGCCCTAGGGGATCCTGCTCTGGCAGGGGGTTGGACTAGATGATCGCTAGAGGTCCCTTGCAACCCCGAACATTCTGTGATCCTATATGTAAGTCAGGTAGAATTTGCAGCCCTGTACAGAGTGCTTAGCAGGCATGGTGGCATGAGCTCAGGCGTGGTTAGTGTACATAAAGGAACAGTTTTGCCCTCAGAACTTCTCACTTACAATTACACACACAAAAATTGAGCACCAGAAGCCAGGGAGGACTGTTCTCTAGTTTCTTTGAGCACTCTGAAGAAAACTACTTCTTTGCCACACCTGGAATTCCCATTTCTCTGTTCAATGGTTTGATATTAGCTACTCTTTCATTTTCTTCCTTTCATCTGTAGCAATATAGTGAAGGGTGTGTCTCAAATTTCTTTAAAACTTCTTAAAGCGTAGTCAGAAACCACCTGTTCTTACAAGTGTAGACTGTGAAGAGACAAGGTTTTTGTGCTACTGTTACTGAGAAATGTCTTTGCTTTTTTTCTGTGGCGTTCTCTGTGTGAATGTGGGAGTTGAAGATGAGTGCTTCTGCACAGATCTGAAGTAATTTTGCCTGAAGTTAGTTTGTGAAATGCTTTCGTTGAAGCACTTGGAGTCTTTCCCAAGATCCTTTTGCATAAGCAGCAGACTAACATCTGTGTCTCATCCACAGGCACAGAGTTCTGCTAAAACTTTTTCAGATTTGAGAAACTCTACAACTCCCACCCCCAGCTATGTTTATTAAGTAAAGGAGGAAGGGCAATCAGATTACAAGTATATGTGTCTTTCAAAAGGCTGCCAAAGAATATTTCGCCTTGCAGGGGGAGAACTGTACATAGGAAGACATATTTGCTCTTGAGTGTAACACCACGCTAAATCCCTGGCAACTTCCTATGTTCTCAGAAGCTGTAAGGTGCAGCTTTATTACATCTCTCTTTAAAGGAAGTAAACATCTTGTGTTCAGTAGGTAGAAAATGTAACTGAAATACAAAAATTTTAAGAACTATTCTTCCACCATGTGGATTGATGGAATTGCGAGAAATACCTGTTTAGAGATTTTGGCTTTATGCTGCTGAGGTGTTGTAGAATATTTAGCTGTGATGTTACATCCCTGCAGTATTTGCTTTGTGAGAGAGACGGGTCCCTGCTGAATCTGTAGAACGAAGAAATATGCTTGCCTGCTTGGACTGCTTTTTCACGTGTATAAATAAAATTATATTCCACATCATTAACTCTGCCATTTCCTACCTGTCGGCTAAAATCAGGTAAACCTGTTACCAAGACAGTTGGTTTTGTAGTCCCTGAAGCATGCTAGTTAGTTCATGTTTATATTCTAACCTGACTGTGCTACTGAATATCTACTGAGTGGCACCGTATTCTTACTGTCTTACCACACATCTCTTGCAGGCTAGTTCTTTTGCCATGGAAGCTGAAGAAAAGATGGAATGTATCCAGGAATTCCCTGAACACTATAAAGTAATTTTGGATAGACTGAATGAACAACGTGAGCAGGACCAGTTTACGGATATCACTCTGATTGTCGATGGTACGTACAGGCCTAAGAACTAGTTGGCGTACAGACAGTGCTGGAAGCTGTTGCTGTTGTCATTGGTCAGCTGTGAAACTGGGCTGCTAACAAATTCTTGGTTCTGTACCACTGTGCGAGATGCTTGCTGAGTTTCATTTAAAATCTCAGGGTGGACAGAGTCTCCAACACTAGCTGATGATTTTGCTTCTTCTTTTCCAAGCTAGGAGCTGAATATTTTCAGATAGAAACCGGCTTTGAAACTGCTGTGCTACATTTAATGTGTTGTCCAAAGATTACCAAAATGTTGTTACAATATTTTTCCCTAACTTGAACTGACTGTGTTCAGGGAACTCTTACAAATATTGTGTTTAAAAAAAAAAAACAAAAAAAAAAACCCCACGACACAACAAATGGCAAACCCACCTTCTTCCTTCTCTGACATCTGCCTCCTATTTTAATACACACTTAAAATAGGGCAGAAGCACTCACTTTTATATGTGGTCTAAGATCCTAAGTGTTAGTTTAAAAGGATGATGGAGATACAAGTGTTTACTGTCTCCTTAGAAAAAGTGGTGTCTGATAGATCACCCAAGGTTGCTTCTTATTCCAAACATGGCTTAGAACAGATAGGCAGTGTCCACCAGGACAGACTTAACTAAAGGAGTACCACCTGGTCCTTAAAGGGATAGCAAGAACACGGTTGAGGGAAGAGGGTCCAGCAGAGCCCAGATTAAAAAAAAATAAGCATATGAAAAAGAAAGTATTCTCAGGAGTTGCTGTAGTTTCACTGACAGTGTTTGCACAAAGCTTATCTGGAACGTTTGTTCCTGCTCTAGCATTACCAAATATGAGTGTTGAGCTCAAAGGTGGGTTTGTGTGCAGCTGTGTCGTTCTAATCCATGTTGCTTCTCTTGTCTCTGTCTGATGGAGCCTTATGAATGTTCATGCCTGTGTCAGGGAGAAGGCAGCACGTTGATGGAGAACAAAGAGTCTGGAAAACAGAACGGAGGAGAACCACTTCTATTCTGTAGCGATGTTTTTGCTGTCAGAAGTGGTGATAAAATACATCAGTCTATAAGATCAATAAAAAGCAAGGAGAACTTGGATGAAACCTGAGAGCTGGCCGCAAGACGTGCAGGAAAAAATTTGCCTAGGCATTTCGTGTCATGTAAATATCTGAAAAGAGAAACGCTAGAGTGAGTCCTCCAGCTGATGAAGCTGCAGAGAATCAGTAAGGTCAGTGATGTTAGCAAGGGCCTGCGTGAGACAGGACAAGCTATAGCTGCAGCAGGATGCCATCTTACAAGGAGACTAGAATGACTCTGTGCTGCTGGAATAGATTTGCAGGCTAGATGGTCTCTTTTACACATCTGCAGAAGGTGTTACCCTAAACCAAAATTTTTGTCTCTCTTTGTAGGTCACCATTTCAAAGCTCATAAGGCTGTTCTTGCTGCCTGTAGCCAGTTCTTCTACAAATTCTTCCAGGATTTCACGCAGGAGCCGTTGGTGGAGATTGAAGGTAATTTGACTCATGCAAATAACCTTCAGAGCTGGGTGCCTGAGCTAGAAATGAATATAGTATCCTTGATATGGTCTTGTGTGCATGTTTGGTCATATCAGCTAGCTTTCTAGACATCAGCTCTTGAGTTGTTCTGAGGCAGCTGTCACCACTGGAAAAAAACTTACCCTGAAGAAGAATTAAGAAGAATAATATTGGATTAAATCTTTTGGAAGGGCAACTGTGAGATTCTGCGGATGTGTTTTCCTTTTTATTTTATTATTTTTTTTAATTCCCCAAATACATGGTTAATGGAGGTCAGGCAGACCCTGTATGTTTTTAAAACTGGAAGTATAACATACACTCTTTTCCTTGAAAACAGCCATTCTGGTCAGATGAAAAGGGCTGCCAGTGATGGCCAATGGCAGATGCCTTGGCTAGGGTTCCAGAACAGGATAGACATGGAGCAATACTTGCCTAGTAGGGAGGGAGCAAATTCCTGGAGCAGTGTTTTGTCCTGTAGTCTCTTACTGCTCAGAGGTCTCCTGAGAGAAAGGTTGTATTTTTGTGTTTAAATCTATACTTTTTTCTTTTTTTTTAGCTTTATGTCCATATTCTCCTTTTATCTTTGTCATGGCATAACCCTCTAGTTGTTTCAGACTCCCATGTTTCTATAGTAGACTTTTTATTCCAGTATCAGCCTTTTAGGGGTGTTGTTTTTATGAAACTGGTAACTACATTACTGTGAGCAAAATCATGAGCAGGTGAGTGTGCAAGATTCATCAGATAGATGAGGCTGAAGAATTGCTAAAAGAAACTGTTTTTCTTGCCCTTATACAGGTGTAAGTAACATGGCATTTCGCCACCTAATTGAGTTCACCTATACAGCAAAATTAATGGTCCAAGGTGAGGAAGAAGCAAATGATGTTTGGAAAGCAGCTGAATATCTACAGATGTTAGAAGCAATCAAAGCACTTGAAATCAGGTAAGCACATAAGCCTTTCTTTCTTCCCAACACTGAAATGTAGAGTTGTAAGAATCCTTTTACAAGAGCTGTCTGGCAGCATTTTACAGTGCTGTTCCTTATGGAACCTCCTGAACATGTCTGGGACTATATACCCTTCTACCATAAGCTTCAGTGCAGTGGGGAAGGGATTTGAAGCAAAAAGGGCCAATGAAAAGCTCTTTTGGGGGCTTTTTTGAAGCTGGGAGAAGCAGCTTGCTGATGCTGGAGGCATCAGCAGCTTGTGGGTGTGCTGCTGAGGTAGCATGCACAAAGGCAGCACACACACCCGCCCCATCGGCTGTAGATCAGGCCATCAGGGTATAAGAAGCCTCAGGGAGGGCAGCGACAACCCGCAGAGCACAAGGTGAGTGGACAGTGCTTGCATGTGCCCTGATGAGCGCTGCAACTGTCTGCGGATCCTTGCACACAGAGCAAAAGCAGTGATCATCGCCCTGCCGACTGACCTAGTCATGGTTATTACTAGGCCAAAAACCACTGCCAGAAGAAATGTGGGGACCCAGACAGTGTTCCCATGCAAGCACATTGTCCCAGAAGCCAGCAGAGACTGCACCTGTGTGTGGTGTGACCAGGTGAATGATCTGCTCAGCCTGGTGGCAGAACTGAAGGATGAAGTAGAAAGGTTGAGGAGTATCAGGGAGTGCAAGAGGGAGATAGATTGGTGGGACCCACTCCATGGGGCAAAGTCAGCAGACAGAGTCAGCAGACAGAGATGCCACACAAAGTAGAGGATCCCCTCCATTCTTGCCACCAGGCAGTAGGAGGGGACCTCAAAGAAGGGGGAAATGGAAACATGTCCCTTCTCAGGGAGGCAGACGAATCCCCTCCCAGCCTCCCTCACCTTCCCAGTTGCCCTTGCAGCACAGGTATGGGGTCCTCCAGGAGGAATTGGCTGTTGGAGGAACAGATGGTTCACCCAGGCCTGAAGTGCCACCACGACTGAGTCACCCTAGACCTAGCATCACAACTGGCTCCAAAAAGAAAACCAGATGGGTGATTGTTGTGGGTGACTCTCTACTGAGGTGGGCAGAGGGCCCAGTACACCTTCTGGACCCACTTGAAAGGGAAGTCTGCTCCCTCCCTGTGGCATGGGTTAAGGATGTGTTGGGCAAGCTTCCCACCCTAGTAAACCCTTCTCATTATTGCCCCCTCTTGGTATTTCAGGTAGGTAGTGATGAACTGACTACAAGAAGCCCAGAATCAATTAAAAGAGACTTTACAGCCTTGGGGCAGCTGCTTAAGGGATCAGAAGCGCAAGTTGTGATCTTCTCTATCCCTTCAGTGGCAGTTATGAATGAGGAAATTAACAGAAAGAGCCATCAGATCAATTCATGGCTCCAGGACTGGTGTTATTGTCAGGGCTTTGGGCTTTTTGATTGTGGGCTGCTGTACAAGATGCTTGGCCTGATGGCTACAAATGGGATGCACTTGTCCCAGAGAGGGAAAGGGATCTTGGGGCAGGAGTTGGCAGGGCTCATTGATAGGGCTTTAAACTAGACAGGAAGGGGGAAAGAGATATAACTGGGAAGGGTAGAAATAGGCCCAAGGGAAGCATGTCAGGGCTTGTAGGATAGTGTGCTAGTGAGGACTCTGGCTCTGCCATCTCAGTAAGGTCACGGGGATAGGTGTATAAATGGGAAAGGGAGAGGCAAAGGTTGTTGATAGTTTAGAAATCCTGGAAACGCCTGAGAAGACTCTGGTAGGAAATGGGACCCGTGCTCACAAAAAGGTGTTGGAATCAGTAACTCATCTGAAGTGCAACTATACCAAAGCGTGCAGTATAAGCAACAAACAGGGGGAGCTTGAAGCCATGATGCAACAGGAAAATTATGACATAGTAGCTACATAGTGGGATACCTCACTTGAGTGGAGTGCCACGATTGATGGCTGCAAGCTCTTCAGGAGGGATAGACAGGAAAGGAAAAGCGGTGGAGTGGCACTGAATGTTAGGGACTGTTGTGAAGGCTCACAACTTCAGTATAGTGACGATGGGGTCGAGAGTGTCTCTGTTAGATTAAGGGGCAAGGCCAATAAAGCTGATATTGCTGTGGGAGTCTGCTGTAGACCTCCCAGCCAGAGCAGTGAAGTGGATGAAGCTTTCTATAAGCAGTTGGGAGAAATCTTGCTTTCACTTGCTGTTGTTCTCTTGGGTGATTTCTCAGGTATCTGCTGGGAATACACACAGTAGAGGGGGTGCAATCCAGGATGTTCCTGGAATGTATGGAAGATAACTTCCTCACACAGCTGATAAGTGAACCGACCAGGGAAGGTGCCCTGCTCGACCTCTTTGTGAACAGAGCAGGTCTTGTGGAGGATGTGGCAGCTGGAGTCTAGGGAACAGTGACCATGAAATTATTAAGTTCTCTATTCTTAGAGATGTTAGGAGAGGGGACAGCAAAATTGCCACTTAGGACTTCCGAAGGGCAGACTTTTATTTGTTTAGGAGGTTACTTGATAGAATCCCTTGGGAGTCAGTTTAGAAGGGTATAGGAGTCCAGGAAGGCTGGACACTCTTTAAAGAGGAAGTCTTAAAAGCACAGGAGCAGGCCATCCCCACGGATGGTAAGACGGGCTGGTGGCAAAGACCAGCATGGCCGAATAGGGAGATTTGACTGAAAATCAGGGAAAAAAGGGAAGTTTATGGCCTCTGAAAGAGGAGGCAGGCCACTCATAATGAGTACAAGAGTATTGTTAAGGTATACAGGGAGATTATTAGAAGGTCCAAAGCCCAGCTAGAAATTAATCTGACTTTAGAGGTACAGGACAGCAAGAGAAGTTTCTATAAATACATTAATAAGAGATAGACCAGAGAGAGCCTCCATCCCCTACTAGACCCAGGAGGAAATATGATAACCAAAGACAAAGATAAGGCTGAGATGCTAAATACCTTATTTGCCTCAGTCTTTAGTAATAGAAACACTTTTACTGAGGAAAGCCAGCCCCCCACAGACCAAGAGACAGGGGCTAGAAGCAAAATGTCACTCCCGTAATCCAGGAGGGCGTGATCAGTGACATACTGCTCCACATTGATGTGCACAAATCTATGGAGCTAGATGAGGTACATCCTAGAGTGCTGAGAGAACTGGCAGGGGTGCTCCCCAAGCCCCTGTCCATTATTTATCAGCAGTCCTGGCTGACTGGGGAGATCCCAGCAGATTGGAAGTCACCCAGTCCAACACCAATCTATAAGAAGGGATGGAAGAACGATCCAGGGAATCACAGGCCTGTCAGTTTGACTGCAGTGCCAGGGAAGCTGATGGATCAGATCATCCTGAGTTCCATGATGCAGCACGTGCAGGACAACCAGATGATCAGGCCCAGTCAACATGGGTTTGTGAAGGGCAAGTCCTGTTTAACAAACCTGATCTCCTTCTGTGACAGGCTGGCCCGCTTGTAGGATGAAGGAAAGGCTGTGGATGTTGCCTATCTTGACTTTAGGAAGGCATTTGACACTGCTGCCCAAAGCATTCTCGTAGAGAATTTGACTGCTCTTGGCTTGGATGGGAATACGCTTCACTGGGTGAAGAACTGGCTAGATGGCTGAGTTGAAAGTGTTATGGTCATGGAGTTAAATCCTGTTGGTGTCCCCCAGGGCTCAGTACTGAGCCCAGTCCTGTTTAACCGTTTCATCAATGATTTGGAAATGGGGATCAAGTACACCCTTAGTAAGTTTGCAGATGACACCAAGCCGGGTGGAAGTGTTGATCTGATTGGTGGTGGAGAGGCTCTACAAAGGGATCTAGACAGGCTGGATCACCGGGCCAAGGCCAATTAGATGAATTTCAACAAGGCCAAATTTTGGGTCCTGCACTTGGGCCACAACAACCCCCAGCAGCGCTACAGGCTTGGGGAGGAGTGGCTGGAGAGCTGCCAGGCAGAGAGGGACCTGGGGGTGTTGAT